TCATTATCGTTATCTTTTCATCTTTCTTTCTTTAATTTCTCTCTTTATTTTTTTTCTTTCTTTCCTTAATTGATTGATACTGAATTTATTTATTTATTTATGAATTTATTTATTTATTTATGAATTTATTTATTTATGAATTTATTTATTTATTTATTTTATTTATTTATTTATTTATTTATTTATTTATTTATTCATTTATTTATTCATTTATTTATTTATTTATTTATTTATCCAATTTAATTAATTAATTAATTAATTWATTTATTTATTTATTCAATTTAATTTATTTATTTAGTTTTTGTATTTTAATTTACTTTCAAATTTGTTTTTAATCACCAAATACTAGCACAGCTAATAAGCTAAAAACATCACACATACATCAAAAAACGCTAGACTACTTTGTTCATCGCGAACAACTAATGACACATTCTCGTTTCATCCTTTCAGCGCATTTTATTGTATTCATTTTATCGATATTAAATGCTTATAAATTTTCCATTTAGTCATTGAAATTATCTGCGTCAATTTACTCAATAGAAGCAACAATTAACCTCACATTTATATTTTCACTGGCGGTTTCTCTCTTACAAAATAATAACTCACAAAATGTTCCCATCTCTCTTCCTCGGAGCGCTCATTTTCCGTTGTTGTAACTTTTCCACCATCCGAACCGGCCATTTCAAAGCCTGCTTCTCGAAGCAAAGTAAAAGCCTTTTCAATTTGATTAAATTTCAGGAAAAATCGATTCGTGTACCTTAGTCGGTCGGGATTTGGATCTCTGGTTTCATTGAGAGAGGAACCAAACACTTCCCTGCAGAGAGAAACTCGTCCACAGATCAAAATCCTCCGCATTTTACGAAATTTGATGTCCGCTTGACCTGAGCGACCGAAGGCAAAAGTGCGTCGAACATGCACGGAGATGTGGCCGCAGTTTTCGTCGAATTTTGGACTCAAACTGTCGCTAAAAASTTCCAGTTGTTTCCGCATCTCTTTTAGCTCGTAGAAATCAGCCTCTATTTTGAGACGCTCTATTTCATTGAAATGATCAGGAAGATGAASTTTTCTCCCTCTCAAGAAGTCCAAAACGTACCTAAACAGCAACCCATCTCGGTCAATAAAGTATTTTCCRTCGTTGTCTTTCTCCAATTGTTTTCCATTTCCACTAAACGCTTTGCCCAGAAGAGAGTCCTTAATCTTTGTGAGGGTTARCACKGTAGTTGAGTAGAATTTCCCGCCGACATTAAGCTCAATGTTTTCTGGGAATAATTTCTTTGGTTCTGCGCTTAGAGATGTAATTTGTAGAGACGCGGTCGCCATTTGGAGTTGAAAGTATTTGTTTTTGCCAGCGTTGAGTGGTTAATTTGAAGCTCTCAAACATGCGCTGCTTCCTTCCCCTATAAACTATATCAATACATCATTTCATAAATCAGCAAGTGATGAATAATCTTAATGTAGTTTCCTTGGGGTTATATACGAGATAATGTGGCGTTGGACAACTAAATTAGTTTTAAAGCCTAAATCCCTGCATGATAGTTTTGTCTTAAAAGAGTATTAATCACAGACAACGCGCAATTTTCATTTCATTTATCAACAAACCCTTTTCAAATTAAAAACCTTTTAAGGCTGTAGTTTGTGATAAYCAATAGAAGCGGGAAAAACCATAAAGGTTGCTTGAGAACAATTATCTATCTACTAATTGGTTCGAACTACTTTGGATATATATCTTTTGTCATTTAGCAGAATAAATTATTTGAATATGTAGATTGTAGATAAGCTTGTGGAAAATCCCCGMGAGGCTCGATGCAAATGAGACAATGCTCGATGTACTGTGTCATATGTACAAGGGTTCATGATCATTGACGGGCTATTTGTTAGCTTTTCCAACGATTTACAACCCTCTGAACCAGGATGCTTTGAAGTATATTTACTATTTGCTTTGCCCTTTTGTCGAAAATGACAACAAAGCTTTGTATTCATTAATCATCTTTAATTTCCTTCTACGAGAGGAAAGGAAACTGAGATGTTCACAGCTTGCGTATTTWWAAAAAAATTATTTACAATTGAAATTCTTAAGAGGAACATTTTGCACCAATTACATGACCTAAAACTTATACATTTATGTGCAAATTAAAAAAATGATTTTTTTTTATTTTTCGCTGGTCTTTGTATTGATATTTTAGTACAATTTTCTTTAGAAAATAAGACATTTGTTCAAAAATATGTACTTTGAGCTTGCGGTTGTCCATCGCCAAAGTCAAAGAGGATTTTCAATTTGAAAATGTATAAAGGCCTAAATCGCGAAAATTGATCGTTTGTAATACAAGTCACCTTGTGCAAACATATGAAATACCATATTTCCTACATTTCTTTAATGACTTCTCTGTTTATAATCCTTTTGAAGAAGTATAATACCATTGGGCCTTATTTTGGTGCAATATCGTTTCGCGGTCAAACAGCGATGAAGCAGTCAGCCCACAAATCGTTTCAACTTGAATCCCTAACTAGTTCCTTTATTCAAATGATCAATCTCGGATTTACAGGGTGTGCTGTTTTGATTAAGGAGAACTAAATATTTTACACAAAAGAAAAATAATGTATAAAAGAAATAGTTCAGATATTTTTTTTAAATTCTGCTTTGAAAGTGATGAAATATGGCTCAAGTCCGATACATGTCTTTTGGTGCTTTTGGCTCTCAAATTTCGAATTTTTCAAGCGAAAAAAACGTAAAATAAAACATATATTCTCAAATTGAAACTTTTACAGTGTTTTTAAAAACTTTGCTACAATATAAGCAGAGTTTTTAGCGAGCATTTCAAAAGAGTGATATTTTGTAGAGTGACTGGAGGTGCACGCTATTTACACAGATCAATCACTGGAATATCACCGTGAAGTCATCGACACCCAAGCTTTTATTTATTCGATGTATTTGTTCTTTCTTATTTCTTTCATTATTGAATGTCACTTGCCAATGTTAGATTTAAAGATAAAACTGGTCGACTATTTTGGCGCGAAAAGGTCAAAAAGTGCGGGCGCGCGCCAAGTATACTTTTTMTGTTTCGTTTGAGAACTCTCACATTGACATTGACTTGTGTCTCTTAAATTCGTTTTTCTCGCTCAATATTCAAAGCAGAAATAGTGAAAATGCAAAGGCTGACTTAATTAACATTATTTTTTAACCGGAAATTACGCTCTCTACTCAAAAGATAATGAAGAATTACAAAAAAATATACGTTATCTTCTTACCTGCTTCYCTGTTAAATCCTATAGTCAGTTTAGCACTAGGTATGCCTAGAAAAGATTGAATTATGTTAAGTTAAAACTACATTACTCATCGCATATGAAATTATACCTGAAAAAAGTTCGAGCTCTACTTAGGCAGAATTGCATGCGACGTATTAATGAGTCCTTCGGCAAAAATATATATAGTATATGAGCCTTTTCCGATAAGCGAAATAATATAACGACATAGAACTTCATTAGACAATGCGTTAGGCCTGCAGCTATCTCATTTGCTTTCCAGAAGTCGGGTTTTCAATATAGTTTAAAATATAAATGCAAATAATAACGGAGTTGAAAAACACAACCTGCACCATTTGTTTGTTGAAAACTATATCTACATAACATCCGAATACAATGTTTACACAGCCGAAAGAGAACAAAATTAAGAAAAAAATCATGTTCAATGATACAAGCGATTAACTTTAGAACAATTTAGTTAAAAATCTTTTTCTCTGTCTTCATTTTCTCTATCAATTTTAAAAATTTAGTTACTCATAGCAAAATGTAAACAACTCGATTTCGCCAAGTACACAAACATAAGTTTTATTACTAAGATTTTCGATTTAGTCGACTCTTTAATCACTGAAAAAKTCTTTCCCACAATGACAAAATAAGTTGTCAAATCCTCCGCTGTTTTTGAGCTTGTTAACTGGCTGATTGACTATATAAGCGCATTTTGATATTTCTTGTACGTCCTGTACTTATGCTACTCAAACCCTCTAGTGCTAGTCGAATCTTATTCCCTCATGAAAAGCCAAAATRAAACTAAAAAGCTTTTTCAAAACACATAAAAAAAACAGTTTTGTTGAGCAGTTACCTTCCAGTTTGAGTCGGTTGAGCTTTTTTTATCTTGTTGCCAACTGGTCTGGTGTCCTATATATTGCATATGCTACACGCGCTGTTTCTCTACAAGTGCCTACCTATTCACATTCAATCATAATAACTAAAAAATAAAACTGTTYCCATTCAAAACACTTCCGTTTGAATCAGTCAATAAACAACGGCTTTGTCAGTGCGCTCTCGAAGCGCGGCGCTGTTCCATTTTAACGCGAAGTTTTTCCGTTTCCAAACACCGCTATGGCGCACCTATGCAATACTATCAGATAATCACGATAAATCYACCAAAGATAGATATGAATTTACCGCGCTATTGACTTGAAGATAAATMTAATTGACGGCTGTGAAAGATAACGACAACCGCATGCTGATCGCTAATTATTCATAGGTGCACTTTACAGCGTCTCTCCCATCGTGGTTTTGGAATTACCGCAGCTGGGTTTGAAGGTTTCGGTCATTTTTTAAAGGCGAATGATAGCCTTTCAGTAGTTCACAAATATCTTTTATCCAGTTTTTTGACGCTAATTGTGGTACACCAAGCATTTTGTCAATAATATCCCGCAGGTGTTTCGGATAAATTGGCCAATTTGAGATCGGCACAATAAAATAGTACGAGTCATTTGATTGGTTAACTATTAAATAACCAATTAGAACTTATTAAAGAAATTGCCAATTAGAGTTTTTTTAAGAAATCGTACGAGTCATTTGATTGGTAAATTAGCCAATTAGAGTTCGTTAAAAAATGGACGAGTCATTTGATGGTAATGTGAAGAGGCCAATCGAGTGTTGGATTAGCATTATCAGGTCCTGGTCCCCAAGTGATGGATTTGGGGTAAAGAGGAACGCGGAGGAAGCGAGTGAAGAATGCAGTTGAGGTGCTAACTAGAAACATTCTAATAGCAAAAATCAGTTTATGTTTACTTTACAAAAGAGTTTTTTACAAGGTTTGAGACGCATCTTGTTATTTTTGATACAAAATAATAAAAGGAAAGTATCAAGGAATGAAATGATATTTTGCTTCGGAAAGTTCTGAATTTGGGCGCCTTCCTCATCAATATAAGCATTTTATATCTACAGTATTAATGTATCAAAGTAAATGATTGAGCTCAATATCGTTTCAGTTGCATGACAGAAAATTGCTGTCTATTTTTCTGCGTGARTCGGGCCCAGTTTGTTCTCCTTAAWYYTGAAGCACAGGGARCCCAYAGCAATGATGTCTTCATTTTATGATCTCAGTCCCAGTACTTGATAAGTCCATCCCAACCACAGGTAACCACTTTCGAGGTCTCGTGCGGATGCCACGCACAACCAATGCATACAGCATCGTGAGCTTTGAATTTACTGTTAAAGAAAAGAAAAAATCAAATCCACTCATATTACTTGGGACTACAGATTACCAATTTCTGTCAGCGGTTTATAGCGGTTTGATGCTGAAAATCCGGGGCCGGTTGTGCGGATGGATCCGGCAACGGATGAAAGTTATAGATTTGCATGGATGTAATACAAAGGATATCGATTTATCCAGTTGATTATTACATAATGATTTCATAATAATCAAAAAAATATTTTCGCGCCATCAGACGTACACAGGAGCCCATTACTAATGTAGTAATGGGATCCTGACTGTACAACAAAAATACATATTGACTTACCAATAAAGTTTAGTGGATTTCCAGTCCCAGATATTTAGTTTACCGTCAGCGTCACCAGATATTAGATATCTTAAAAAGGAAAAATATCAATATGTAAATTCACTTAGTAGCTTGAKTAGAGCAAGGCAAGCACTCGAAAGAAAATACGACACGTTTCCGGGGTAAAAACGTAAAAAAATCAATCGCTTCGATCGACAATTGTAAGTGTTTTTTGATCACAATCGATTGAGGCATCCATTTCTTATTTCAATTTTTTATTGATATTTATAAATTATTTTTTATTTGTTACAAAGCGCATTTGATAACATTCATATGCCAATAATCCACATTAAAGTTACAATTATCATTATGTGCCAGAGAAAATAAAGCTTAGCAAAGATGCCCGAACAAACAGTGACAACTAGATACAAGTGTTGAAAATTAAGACTATTTATAAATACTTACGCTCCGTCAGGAGAAAAATTCGGCTGACAAGCATATCCTGCAACCTAACATAAGAAACATGGAATGGGTGAAAACGATCAAGATACGGTTTCGAAAATGTCCGGACACTTATTTAACGTAGCTTCATTGAACTCACCATGTGCCCTTTGAACACTTTCTTTCTGTTTATTCTGAAGCGATTCTGTACACCGAGAATCAGGATTTGATTATCCATTGATTGACAAGCCATCCATTTCTCTATTAAAGCAAAAAATAAAGTACGTTTAGAGAGGATATGGAGGATATGTATGTCGAATATGCCATAGAGCAGTGATTTCCAGATTTTGAAACACTGGAAAAAATAGCGCTCCTTGAAGGTTGATAATTTAATGAAAATATGATGTAAATTTAATCTATAATAATTACAGAGGTTGTAAATATCTCGTAAGTGTCCAAAATCATGGAAATATCGTGTAAATTTGGATTTTGATTTACATTATATTGTAAAAAGTGTGTAAATGTGATGTAAATACTTTGTAAACGTCCAAAATCATGTAAATATTACGTACATCATTTTTACATCAAATTTACAGGGCGTTTTTTCCAGTGAAACAGAGGAGAAACGTCTTAGAGCAGGGCACTAGACAAGATGTCTTGTGCTTATTGCTATGCTTTTAAGTCTATGTCTTATGTCGCACGTTTGACTTCTTTTGTCTTTTCTTTTGTTCTCGGCTTATGCTTATGCCCTAGCGAAATGCTGGGAATCTTATGCGAATAGCATGAGCTAAATCACTTCCTTGTCGAGAAAATCACGTTTAATTCGTAAAATTGTAAAACTGCGCAAAAAAGGATMGGTCTGGTTAACACGG